GTACTTAACAATTTTATTAATTATTTTAACAATACTGATACTGATAGTAGTTTTACACTATGAAAAGAGAAGTACTGGAACCATCTTACTGTCAAATTCAATTTTAATAACGTTTGGCGTGCTGAGTCAGCAAGGTATCATTTTTTCAATATTTGTGCCAAACAGAAAATAATAATCATTCTATGATCATTAGGTGTAGTTATGGAAATCAAGCAGCTTTCAACGCGAATGGTTCTTTTTTTTGCACTGATATTTGGTTTACTCATCTACAATTTTTATTCAGCTTGCATTGTATCTGCTCGGTTGGCGGAACCAATTTTCAAGATCAACGATTCACTCAACGAAATGGGAAAGTTGAATTTAATCATTGCATCAGAGTGGATGAATTATTTAGAATATTTTCTTCATGTACTAAATTATTATTAAAAATATGACATTTAGGATAAAAAGCTTATTGACACAAATTGTTTTTGCAGCAACCCCATTGGGACGCTGAAATTTTTTATAAATATTACTGGCAGAGAATACCAAAAACAAAGCGATACATGGTACCCGAAATCGCCATGAGATTGGTACAGAAAGGGGGCTACGCTTATCATACATACCCTGATGTTACTTACGGGTTTATTAAACGATTATTTGATAATCGAGAAATTTGTGAACTGATGGAAGGTAAACCATGAAATTCTATTGTATGTCATGATTAATAGTATATTTTAATAAATTGTACCATTTTTTATAAGCAAAAAATTAAATGGTTTTTTTGTACTTAAAGTCCATCTTGTAAGACCAACTTCTCTCTCGTTCGCAGTAACAACTAACAGTTCTTTTGTAGAAATGACTAAAGTCGGGTAATCGATAATTTTTACCGTATACATTCAATTACCAACTTGGACTATATTTTTGGGATAAGAATACAATAAAAAGTAAAAATAATGTACTTGTAGACTGGCTCGGATCAGCGAAGTTGGAGTTAGACATCGACAAGTGTTAAAATGGTCGGAAACCAAACCACTCTGCCGCAAAGACATGAGAAGTGCATCGAGTATTACTATAAACGAATTTGCTCCACATCTTTTTCTTTTGATGATAGGTTTACTTGCTGCCATGTTTCTTTTGGGGCTCGAAATAATTACTTTCAAATTAAAATTAAATTTCAGTCACACAAGAAAACATCAATTTTATTAAGGAAGAATTAATTATATTTCCTCATTCCAGTTAATATTGTGCATTAAATACTATCCATGCTTATTGTTAAAAACACATAAAATTGTACTAAATCATCTAAAATTGAATAAAAAAAGAGTTAAAACAAATTGATGTCAATTATTCCTGAGTTCAACTGTTAGCATTAATGTTTAAATAATCATCCTCAATACTCTTCCACGATTTAAATTATTGACAACTTTAATAGACTTTAAATACCTCTAGTGAATAATTGAAGGCAAATTCGTGCTACGTCAGGCTGAGTTTATTTGGCTCAGCTCATTTTACATTATTTTATTGTACTTTCTGGAGACTAAAATGAAATTGAAGCTTTGGGTTTTGTTTATTTTATTAAAAAATTCTTTAAGCAATAACGATTTTATTTTCGATTACTTTATTTACAAAAAAATACCAACCATTGTTGGATTTTCATGTGAAAACGTTTTCGGTGACACCATAATTATTTAAAATATATTTTACATCAACGTCTAATAATAAATAATTTTGATAATTTTTAGAAAATTTGTTGTTATTTAAGAAGCTTAATGAGATAGGAATCTCTGCCATGATAAGTGATCAAATTAAAATTCATCAGTTGTTAAAAACTGAATATAATAGACTAGGAATTTTCGTGGATGTTCGTTGTTACAATTTTAACTGCAATACTTCAGTTTTTGAATTTGTAAGTTTACTTGATGAAAAATCGCATTAGAATTTGAAAAATAAGTAAAAATTTGAATGATTTATGTATTTGTCTAGGCTCGGCTGAATAAGTTGTTTGATGAATTAAGATGTTGGTTGATATTAACTTCTGATATGCGCATTGTGGAATTTATTGATGACACCACTTTTGGATTGTCAACAGATATTGTAATAGCCTTACATTCAAATGACACGAAACATTTCCAACTATTTGACATTTACAATATTTCAAAAGAACGTGGCTCAAATCTGACCATAGTTTCTCTTGGTGATTGGTACGGAAAAAGCAAACTTAACATTAGCCTTAAACAATCTAAATTCCATCGAAGATCAAATTTTAACAGATTACCATTGAAGGCTATTTATTTAAAAGTAATCATTAAATTACTCTTGGTACACTTAACTACGCCAACACATCAAAAATGCTTATTACAAATTAACATTATTTGTTAACAGAGCTTTCATAAAAAGGATGATGAAGGGTTAGAAGATTATTTACAAGACCATACCCACGCAGCTTGGGATACAAACTCAAAGTTTGGATTACAAATTTTAAGTCATCTTTCAGATCTGTATAATTTTACGTAAAGTTAAAAATTGTTCGAGTATCATCACAGTATACTATAATTGCTGATTTTTTGAACTACAACATTATAAATACTTTATAGCTTAGAATCTTATGAATCCACGTATTGGTCACCAGGCGATCAGTTAGGTCCAGTGGTCGAAACTTTGAGAAACAACACGTACGATATTTCTGGAAGCCCTCTAATATTGAGTTTGAGGAGAAGTTTTTCGATAAAATGTGCTCACCAAGACTGGCTGTTCAGGTAAATTGAAACGTATTTTATTAATTACAAATTTATCTGTATTTTCATTCCATAGAACCTGTTTTTACCTTCGAAACCCTCAACCGGAGAATATAAAAATTCAAGAATTATTTCGACCCTTTGATAATCAGATTTGGTATTTAATGATAATTTTGATCATTTTTATTTTAATGATCTTAACACTAGCCTTACGTTATGAGGAAGTGGGTAAATCCGTGTTATCAACTTCCTTACTAATTACAATCGGAGCTCTCTGTCAGCAAGGTTTTTATAAAAAAATCTTCTTGTTGTCATACGTTTAAGTACATCTTTCAACAAATGCTTATTTTGTGGTTAGGTACTGACATAAAAATGAAACGTCTGTCAACCCAAATTGTTTTTTTATTTACTTTGATATATAGCCTACTCATGTTTAATTATTACTCGGCTTGTATTGTTTCATCAAGATTGGCAGAGCCTATTTATAAAATAAATGATTCTCTCAATGAATTGGGAAAGTTGAATTTAAAAATGGCTACAGAAAACATGCCTTACTTGGACTACTTCCTCAAAGTAGGTAGATACAAGCTTTTAAATTATAATCATAAAATTTTATCACCTTTACGATCACAGCAACCATACTGGGATACAAAAGTATTTTATGAAAATCGTTGGTTAAAATTACCGAAATCGAATTTATTCATTGAGCCCGAAGAGGGCATGCGATTAGTTCAAAAGGGCGGCTTTGCTTATCATACTCATCCTGGTATCGCGTATCCGATAATTGAAAAAACCTACGACAATCGTGAAACGTGCGAGATTGTAGAAGTAGGTAAATCTTATACATTCTTGAGTAATTATATACGATTCTGATAAATATATTCGTTCACATCTATAAGGTACATCTTAGTGGACCAAGTTATGCAGCTTTTGTTGTTGGGATTAACAGTACGATTTTAGAAATGGCCAAAATTGGGTAAATGATAATGAATACAATATACAATCAGGTGATTTTTATTACACTGGATGTTATTACGTATTTACAGGTTAATGAGGATTTCGGAAGTTGGTCTGAAAACTCGACAAATTATTAGGTGGACATTTCGAAGACCCCAATGCAGAAAAGATATTCGAAGTGCGTCAAGTATAAACATGTACGAATTTTTGCCCCATCTCTTTCTACTTCTTATAGGCATGTCATTGTCTATATTGGTGTATGTATTCGAGCAATTGTTTTGCTGTTTGGCGTTTACTATAAATAGATTAAAAAAAATTTTTGAATAGATTAAATCACGCTGACCAACATTCTGTTTTTAAGTGTAAAATATTATTGATGTATAATGAAAAAATTTAAGATTAAATATAAATAAGCATGTGTATAAATAAATATGTGTAACCAATGGTTTAGAATTTCAGAAATGTATTCATACTTAAAAATTTTTCCATAATCAACGTGTTGATCAACAAAGACGTGTTAATCAACTCAAAAATAATCGTGTGAACCAAAGTTCTCAACTACATCCTTGGCGCTTTATCACGATGTGCGATGAATCAGAAAGTCGATATTTTACATTAATTTAAATGTCTTTAACAACAAGTTGATAGTTCTACTTATTACAAACGTTACTTATATACTATTTTTTACAAATTTCTATATCAGTAGATACCTCCTAATATTTTATTCAACTTAAACCTTTGTTAGATGGTCAACACAAAATCAAAAAAATATGCATCCTATGCTTAAGATGTGCGTGTCTCCAAAACTTTTGTCTACTATACACTCTTTTTATATATTAATGCATTCGTGATACCTGTTCAAAAAAGCATACGTACAAAATTTCCATAACTCCTATTAATCAAATCTAGCGATGATAAAAAACTAATTATTCTATGTTTAAATATTCGACAAAAAAAATTGAACCAGTATTGGTATATACTTTAACAAATAGACTACAAAAAATACGACTACTATAGAGTTAAATAAAATGTCCTTCTTTAATCTTCATTATTTATTAATGTTGTATTTTTAGCTCCATACATTTTATGTTATTTGAGTAATTTAGATCGATCAAAACAAACGTTCTTAAATAATAGGATGCAATTTGAATGAATAATACCTTCTTAAGTATCCCACGTCATAGTACAACTTCGGATAGTCATGCGATTCTTAATCGAGTATTTTCAGTGTATACGCTGATATGTTGAGACAGTAATTGTTTTTCATGATTATCTTTTAAACTTAGTCTCATGGTTTACAAAATGTTTTAGTTCTAATTTAACATCATGTCAAGTTTTGTAATTTTTTCTTATTTCTGGCTAGTTTTAGCTTATGGTAATGCTCAAAATAATTTCATCGTAGATTATTTCAGTTTCAAAAAAACTTTAAACGTAATCGGATTTTCCTGTTACAATGATGATGGTAAATAAAAAATTGTTAACAGTTAAATAATAAATAAAAATAACAATAATAATAATAATAAT